GACCCCCTGATACCTGAGGGTCCAAACTCCAGAGACAACTGGGCCTGACCCCCTGATACCTGACCCCCTGATACCTGAGGGTCCAAACACCAGAGACAACTGGGCCTGACCCCCTGATACCAACTTGTATCAGGGGGTCAGTGTTCACTGGCTCAGGTTGGACCGATGGTGTGATACGTTCACTGGCTCAGGTCGGACCGATGCTGTGATGCGTTCACTGGCTCAGGTCGGACCGATGCTGTGATGCGTTCACTGGCTCAGGTCGGACCGATGCTGTGATGCGTTCACCGACGTTTGGGTCAGTGGTCAGAGACATTAAAACCACAGAACAGTTTTCTTCTTCCTGCAGTCTGAAACTGTTGGTTGATTTTCCTGCTCTTTAATAACTTGTAGTTTTTCGAACTGAAAAGTATAAAAATAACTATTAGTTTTGAGCTGTAAATTTTATGAACGTTTTAATGTCTTGAATATTTTCTATAAATGTTTCTCTGAATGCGTCAGATTCTGTGCAGACTTCACTCAGCTATGTTCTGATGAACAGCCTCTAGTTTTACAGCCGACGTAGCGTCAGATCAGATGTTTTATAAACCATCTCTTTACTTCTTACATTATCTGGTTTCCTGTTTTTTAAATTACTGCTTGTATAAAAACTAATGTTTGGCCTTCAAATCGTTTTTGGTTTCACAGTGAACTGTGACAGGACGAACAGAATAAAGTCATCAGCACTAATGGTGGCAGAAAGTGGGTCCTCTCTTTAGACGTRTGAGTTAAATAAAAAGTACAAAAAAGTAGTGTGTCTGTGCTCATGGGACCTGTTGGCAATATAAGGTAAAACTATGAGAAAATATTTAATGAACTGAGTGAAAACATGGACACTCAGGGTTCATTATTTAAATCACAGCATCACTTTAACACAAAATTCTAAGAGAAGTTATAAAATAATGCAAATGCTGTTGTGTRGGACTGTCTCAGGGACATCAGTCTGCATCGTGGGTCTTGTCTGGTAGACCCTGGTCTCTACTACTCTRGTGCTGCCATGATTAGCACGTCTCTTAGTGTATCAATATCGATGCCAATCACTGAGCATCCTGCATTACGAGTGAGGGTCTGCTGGAGACCCTGAGACTAAACACAGACCCTGAGACCAACAGTCCACAACTTCATCCATTTATTTCTGTTTTTCCATCCAACAGATACAGAGATGTGGGGATCATTTTAAAAATTAAGTCACCATTTTTTACATTAAGAAAAGTCTTAAGTTAAATGTMACAGAGGTCAGAAATTGATTTTAACACATTAAATCTTGTTCCATAGACTTAAATCCGTTTCTCTTCTAGCTTCCCGATCTGTTTATGACTCTTAATAAATTGAGATATTTTAGAGTTATTTCAACAAATGTTTGAATATTTTTATTATCCTCAACAAGAAACAATCTAATTCAAGCTGATTTTTTTCCAGAGCAAGTTTAAATATATATTTGTTTAGTTAAATATGTCAGAAGTAGTCAGCTATCAATCAGTCACTAAACCAAGCCCTTCAACATTAGAGTGAGTCATCAACAAAGCTCAAAGGAAATAAAATCCCACTGGTTCTGATTGGTTCCACTGGGTTCTGGTGTGCAGTACTGGGACACTGAGATGTCTGGACTGAGTTTGGTTTCGGGTCAGTCAGCAGTGGAGCAGCCTGASCCCCGTAGTTTAAAGAAATCCTGGAAAGAGGTGCTGCAGGAGGAGGACCAGCGCCACCACCATCAGACCGCAGAGGAACAGCACGAGCCAGATGGGGACATATCCTGAGGTGGACACAGAGACAACCTGAGACAGAGACAAGCTGAGCTACAACATTCCTGCTGTCAACATGGAGTCAGACTCACTCTGGACGGCCACAGTGTGTATTTGACAGCGACTGTCCACAGCTACGCTCAACATGGCCGTCTCGTTCCTCCCCRTGAGGGCTCGGCCTTTCAGGGAGTCAGGAAGGAAGGCCAGGTCCGTCACAACGATGCCGTGGGACTCCTGAACATAATACAGCCTCTGCACAGAACACAGCACACGCTGCACACACCTGCATGGTTTCACTTATCAACCGGTTGGTTGGACGCTGGGGTTACCTGCAGGGAGAAGGCGATGTAAATCGCTACGGATCCAGTCACAGTTCCAAGTCCGAGAAACGTCCCAGAGTCGCTGTTAAACACAAGTTAGGATTAAATCCTGCTSCTCGTTGCCTCCTTCAAACACAACTGTGGGATCAATCTTGTGCCAGCAGGAACTGAATTTGAATTGCTCAGATTYAATCTGTYTGTGCATKATTTGAACTTGAATGCATTGGTTTGAAAATGAATTTTACTAAATTGAAAGTGAATTTAAAGTTTTGTATCTGAATTAATTTGCGTTGAAACTGTATTTTGATCTATTAAAAATTCAGTTTGGCTACCGCAATAAAATAACCTTGTTTTTGTCACTTTTACGGTGGATTGCATCAACTGTTATAAACAGAACGGAAGCGTCACTGAAGTGAAATGCAAATCTGTGGATCTGTGTTTGATTACTCTGCCTGGCTTTCCCAAGGACCAGGATGTGACACAA